ATTGACTTTTTTCATATTTATCTCCGTAATGTGTGGTTTACATAAACGTTATTTATTCTCAATGTCCACTATCCCCTAAATGGAAAATATCTAAGGTAATAGTGAGTAACGGCTATACCACATAATGCTTCTCATAAATGTTTGCGTTATAAGAAAAAGAGGAGATGAAATATCAAATCTGTGAATTTATCCGATGGAACCTTTATTTATTCGTAATTCTAACAATAATGATTGCTAATGAACATGACAAATGGGTTATTGTAAGCTTTAAGGCGAGACAGCAATGTTTCAGAATACGTTAATCCGGCATAATATAGCGTAAATCTAAAAAACTTGAATGAGTATCACTTCCTTGTTGTCACATAAACTCAAACAGTCACGAAACGCTTGTTCGATATAACTTTTTTTTTGATCCATAATTAATTGTAATTAACTTTTACTTGTGAGCGGCCAAAATATGAAATATGATTGCTGTCGCATTTTGTCATTCAATATGCAAACTGATGACACTACAAACATTCTATTGGCGTTTGGCGCGATTTATATTCGTGTAGAATTACCATTCAGCGGAAGCATTCACATAAACGAAATAAAATCCAAAAGGCAGAGCATCTACGAGATCGTGCACTTTTTTTCATATGGATTTACGAAGGGTAGCTGGTGCACCTTATTGAACATATTTATAAGAGCTTACGCTGCCTTCTGAGCTGACCATGCATGTACGTATATGTTTATGTAGTACAAGTATATGTAGTATATGTATATGTATAAGATGTATATGTATATGTATATGTATTATATGTATATGCATATGCATGTATGTGCATTATTATTTCTCGAGTGCGATTAATGCGGGCCGCTTTGGTTTGATCACGATTTTTTAAATGTTGCCCAGCTCATTTTCTTAAGAATCGAATAAAGCTATTATCAACCTCTATCAGACAATTTAAACAAGATTACGTAAAGATACATAGCTTGTGAGCGAAAGTACTCTAAGGCGAATTGATTGCCTAAATGTAAGCGACAGGCAATGAGAAAAAGAATTGAATGAATGAAAGCTCTTAGGCCGTTTAGAGCGTATAGCTGTTATCTGATCATTGAGCTGCAGGTAATCAGATTACTGCAGGCTTAAGTTTTTGGCGCTTGGTGGGAACGGAGGGCAGAGGGAAGGGAAGAAAGAGAGATCTCGAGATGCGCTCGCAACGACACTTCTCCTTCCCTCGTTCCTCTTTCCTAAGCAGTCTGTTTTAATTGAGCTTAGAGCACCGTTATCCATTACAATCAGTTATAACAAGCCTTTATTGGGAATTGTTGCTCTTCGCTATAAAAACGGCAGCGGTTAGCCGGATTTAGCTTAAAATATGTTATAAAATAAGCACTTTATTTGCTTTTTCATGAACCAAACTTTGCCTAATCATTCTAAGAATGAGCGGATGCCGTATCTTTTGCCAACTTATTTATCATTAATTTAGTCGCGTATATGTTCCTTGATTATTTGCAATGTGACAGTAACAGAAACAGCAACCACATATGCTTGGCTACGGAGGGAGAGGAGAAAGAGAGAAACTTTGGAATATATTCAGACTTATATTTAATTTCTTTCTAAGGCTGTACTGCAATCAGTCACTTTCTATTTACCTAGACTTTTTAACTTCGCTTCCATAGATCTTAATATGGGCGCAAGGGCTAGTGGCAGCGGAAAAGCTCCGTAAAAAAATAAAGTCCGGTTTCAACTAAGGGATCGTAAACCGAGAAGTCGGATATGCAGTTTGTACCGAAGTTAACGCTCTTTGCAGAAAATTGATTGGAAGTCTTGATTCCTGTCAGTATTTTTTTTGATAATATTCCAGCCATTAGCATAATATTTATCTCCAATCATTATGTATAATTTTAACTCCAGTCGTTATGAGGACTCATAAAACAACTAGTGTCACGAAAGTGTAGGAGTCAACATCCTCAGGAGTATCTTTAGGAACGAGGAAGGAACAGACCTCTCCAATTAGAAAAAGTGCGAGCTTCTACGTTATTGCAACTATTTCTGTCTAATTATGAAAAAATTAAGCATCCATCTTATGGAGTAATATCCTAGATAATGTATAGGCCCTTCAAGGATCGTAAAAGTCCACTTATCACGACCGCTTCGCAGGCTTAGCACCTATGAGCTGTGAGCCGTTTGGCTTTGAGCCAAATTATAATTGTGCTTCTCTGTTGGGAACACGAATTTTTGTTAGAAATCCTTTTTGTTTTTCAAGTTTTTTTTTCATTTTAGGTACCAAGAAAAGCGTAGAACAACTCGATCTTTTTATTTATCTTTCATTCATTTTAACGTTTTTCTTTCCTAGATGAGATTCAGATTGTAATGTTAATTTTTCTGACACTGTTAATAAAATCTCAATGATATTTGATTGATAGTGTTTGTTTACTCTCCAAAATCACATATTCATCACGCATGTTTTCGTTGAGGAGTGCACTGCACATTTTCCTTAAGAATCCCTTTGAATTTTTGGATCAGTCTCCTTTTTTTTTAAATTTTAGCAAAATTCACGATGTTTACACGCGCACGTATATCTGAGTTCATGCAACTAAATTTGACATTAATGCATGCTTAGGACGGAACTAGTGTTAGTCATTTCAAGAAATTAGATGCTGTTTTGTGAGCTAAAAACGCTTCATTAAATGATTAGCGAATAGTTAGGGACTCCTCACCTCACTATTCTGTTCGTGGTACCTGAAGTGGAAAAGAAAATGGAAAAACAAGAAAGAACTTGGAAGAAAACACATTAATCCAAGAAGAACATCACAATTATTATTTGGCTCAAGTCCAAACGGCGAGTCAGTTTTTTTTTGTGCCATTAAAATTTCGAAGTGGTCAATTTTAGTAAGTTTCAGATATGAATAGTTCCGCTGCGTTTGTCAGAGCCGCTAATTATTTCAAATTCTCATTTTCTTACTTTCAATCTTCTCATACTTCTTTGGATTATTCCAGCCCTTTTACTTTAATATCCTCAGCAAACAGAGAATTTTGTAAGACTGGCTGGGATCGCTAGAAAATTTGGATTATTTTTAGACCGAATTTAGACCGTCAAATGAAATGACCC